GATTTGGGGAATATGCCTTAACCCTTCCTTAATTACCTATCAATCCTTCCTTAATTACCTATCATGCAATTATTTCCTTTTCAATTGTGAATAGGGGTGCCATAATTGATAAGATACATTTAGTAGACTAAAATTTATTCATATTTCTATTTCTTTCACCATACAAGCTATTTTATAGGCTAAGTGGGCCGCACATCGTTTCTCTATGGTTTGAGACAATTGTTTTCCTTCGTGGATTGTGATGGTGATGCATGGTCACATAAGCTTAGTAGTTTTATTTCTTTTTAATGCAATGTTTTCTTTATTAAAGAAAAAGCTCTCTGTAAACATATTGAATGATCTATCAACTGTTACTTTAGAGTGAATCAACGCAAGAGCTATGGAGAATAAAAACATATTTAATTTTATGGTGTAATTGGCATTTTTTACCCTTACAATTTTTTAATTTGAACTTTTGGCTCCTTTTTAAAGGAGTTCTATTATTATTTACATAAAAATATTTTTAGTTTTTATGTGGAATCCACGGGCAAAATTGATCAACTAGGATCTCACATCCTCTCTCTTAATTAATTGTACATTCTCTCTCTAATTGTGATCAGGATCCGAACTTCTCTCTTAAATTATTGTACTCTCTAATTAAATATTTTAGATGTGATTATTTATTTTCACTTTTCTAATTTATTTATCTCTTTATTGTTATTTACATCTTCATTTACTTTCTCTCATCTTGTCATGAATGTATTTGGAAATTTTATTTTGTTGAATTATAGGTTCTAAACTTGACATTGATTTGAAACAAACATTCAATTAATCTAATATTCAACAATATTTGTATTGAAAGACCAAAGAGAAAGTGTATTTATAATCAAATAATCAAAATTCACAAAAATGATGAATTTAAAAAAATGTAAAGAATTAAAAATAACACACTTAAATATTTATTTTTTTGTGAGGATGAATACATCCAAATATTTTTATGGATTCAATGGAAAATGAAACGATATATAAAAATAATTAGAATGTAATAGAAAAAAATAATAATAAATAACAAGAAAAAAAAATAAATAGAAAAGTCATACATATTTTAATGGTGAAGTGGAAATCGTTAAGAAAAAGAAACAAGAAATTTAGTTTGAATAGAGAAAAATTCAAAAAATAAAAATAGAATATGAGATAAGTAAGTGAATATGTAAATAACAATAAAAGATAAATAAATTAGAAAAGTGAAAATAAATACACATCTAAAATATTTAATTAGAGAGAGAATATACAATGAATTTAAGAGAGAGAATGTGGGATCCTGGTTGACCAATTTGCTCCTAGATCCCACATAAAAACTAAAAATATTTTTATTTAAATAATAATAGAACTCTTTTACACAGCACAATTTGAGTTGGAGTAGTATAGAAGTTCTCCCTATTACAGGAGGACTAAAAATTTCTTCGGGATTATGCAATTTCATGGGGTTGGAATTATGCCCGGGATTATGTAATCTCAATCAAGATTGTATAATCTAATCTCGGACGGGGATTACAATAAATCTTGAACTTTTATTCATTAATAAAAAACTGAAAAGCTGGTATTATCTTTCTTCCTAATTGGAATCTCAACTAGAATAGATGTCTAGATCCCAAACCTATCTTTTTTGATTCGGCAGGTGAGTTGTTACACACTCCTTAGCGGATTTCGACTTCCATGACCACCGTCCTGCTGTCTTAATCGACCAACACCCTTTGTGGGATCTAGGTTAGCGCGCAGTTAGGCACCGTAACCCGGCTTCCGGTTCATCCCGCATCGCCAGTTCTGATTGAATCTGAGTCCGAATTCTGACAAGATTTTATCTGGGATTTTTTGAAATAGCTAAAATTTGTGGCGAGATTTTTTCGAAGAGAAACTACAATGACCATGATAATTTGTTTTAAGAAATAAACCAAACACATGCGGGAGAAGAAAGTCCAAAGATGTTGAAGGAGAGATGGTTTTTTTTTTTTTGTAACATTAAAGTATTTTAGTCTTTACACAAGTTCCAAAAGCTACAACCAAAGTAAGCATAGCGTAGCAGAGCTTGTGAGTTTGATCCTTGCTCCTACACGGTGTAGTCAATTAAAGAGATCTTTTTAAATCTCTATGATCCTATTCTTTAATCCTAAATCGTGGTCCAACTATTTTGACACGAAAGGTTGTCCAATTCAAGATATATATCTGGCATCGGATGATTGACACTGTAAAGGGTCAAGAGATGGACAAAGGAATGATCATCATGTGGAAGATAAGGGAGCACAAAAAGAGGGTGACTTTTTGTGAAGAATTACCAAACAAGCTGAGGCTAATCCCACAAATTGAAAGGCAGCTGTTTGAAGACATGAATCATAGTGTTTCTGAAATGCAATCAGACACGACACCAACTCAATTCCAACTTCCAAGTGTGCCGAAATGGACACCCCCTCCCAAGCCACGCGGGCAATCATCCAAGCTGGCAACAAATTAGCAGAAACGGATTTTTTTTTTCCCTTTAATTTCTTTAATGTTATGTGCTGTTTTCTTTTCAAGAAAAAATAAAAATAAATCCAAATTAAAAAAAACGCTAAATAGATGCTTAAAATGTGTTACTTTCATTTAACATGATATTGAATTTAGTAAACCTAAATAATTGGAGGGGTCCCTTCCAAACCCCATCAACCCCAAAGAGTGAACGCCCATTTGAGTTTCCTTACTTCAATTGGATCTGCAAGAGAAAGTGCAAAAAGAAAAAGAAGATAAAAAGTGGTTCCTGCTGATGAATTATCCCCACCTCCACAGGAAAAATACTTACATTTTGATGGATAATGATTTATCTTATACTCACCACTATTAAATATTTAATAATTTTTTTTAATGGTTAACATAAAAGATATGTGATTTTCTCAAAAAAAAAAACTTTTTTGTATTTAATTATATTTTTCTTTTCCCAATCATCCTGATGGAGAGGAGGTTTTCCCTTTTTTTTCCTTTGCTTTTGTATCTGTAGACTGTATTTCAACGTATATGGTCCTTTTTTTAAATTTAACCATTATTTTTGTACTAATTCTCTGCTCGTTTTTCCATAACTCAGAAAATTCATTCCACTCCCAGTTTCCAGTTTACACACACTTGAAATTGAAATCTGCTTTTTGTATTGTTTCCTTTCCACACACGAAATCTAAATGGTCAATTCGGAAACTATTTGGTGATAACCACGTGTGAATTCGCTATTATATGGAATTTGCTTTATTCAAGATAATAATGACAATTTATTATTGGAAAAAATTTGGCTCCTTAAGGTTAAAAGAAGAACTTAGCACTATTAAATATTTGACAAATCTATTTTAATCATGTTTGAATTGTATAATCTCAAAATTCCTCTTATTTTAATGGTCATTTTTGAACTCGAGCATCACACTATGCGTAACCAAGCTAATTTTTTTTCTTCCAATAATTCCTCTCTAGAGAACCAACATGTTACAGCTTATGAAATTTATTGCGATCGTCATTTTAATACCCTTTTTTTTCTTTTTGCTTCTTGTTTTCATTCCGTACTTTATGTTAATGAATAATTGATATATATTTGTCGTTAAAGCTAGTGTTCTAACTAATAAAATTCAAAACAAAAAGAAATAAATTGAATTATCAGCAATAATGCAGGTAGTCTAAATTGGATTTAAAAATATTCTTTTTTTTTAGTCAATAATGATTGATCGTTAATTACTAATGAAAAAAAAAAAGAAAAAAGTTGGTTTGCCAAGAGAAGTTTGAAACGCAAGAGATAAATTTGATCATAAGTTACTGTTTTTTTTTAATTTTTCAGAAGGCTTCTATTTCGAGTCAACACAATCCAAAACTTAACTTTCAAAACCTTCCTCTCTAAAGTCCAAACGAGTTGTCAATTAAAATCCTTGTAAACGTTTGATAAATTTCAATTGTATGATTTTATTAAAAAAAAAATCAAATTGTATGATTGTAGAGGCATAAATGTAAATTTAAAAAGATAAAGCCTTTGATGCTTCAATTTTAGTCCTATTGGCATTTTTTTTTTAGTAGAAGACCCTATTCGCTACTAACTATTGTTCCGCTAGATTTCGCTAAAAATTATGCTTGATTCTTTGTTTTTATATATATATATATATATATATATATATATATATATATATATATATATATATATATTTATTTATTTATTTTAAATAAAACAAATGCATAAATAAAAAACATTTTTCTGATTTGTTTCACATATGATGTAAAACTGTTGTATTAATTATGTTTAATTTCTTCCACCAACTACCAAACTTCTTGTCCTAACTCAAGGACAAAAAAAAAGTTAATGCTAACAATTAGAGTCCATTTATTTAATATTAGGTATCGTTCTCGTTTCAGTCATGTGGTTGAAAATTAACATGAATTTCTGCCCCATTTTAAAATAAATAAATGAACAAATAACAATCGGACAATTTTATCGACACCATCATTGCTTACTTCACCTTTTTTTTTTTTTTTTTTTTTGTAAACATCAATCTTTGATCTTGTGGGCTTTTCAAACCTCTCACTCTAATTCACACTTCACCACACGGCGCACACGCTTTTTCTTTTTGCATTATTTCAATTACCTTTTTCTCTTAGCCTCACACGTCCCAAATATTTGCGACTATAATATTGAATCCAATGACCCAAATTATAAACGTGTAACTGAATGAGTTCACTATTTTAGGTGGTAAGTTTGACAAATTTTTGGTCTGTATATAAGTATTACATCTCCAATTTGAGTGATGTCAATTCCCACTTGCGCAGGAAAACCAGGTTTAAAGTTTCTTTCTTCAATCTCCATTAATGGATGCGGAGAAGGTATTGAATTTGTACGATTGGTGCTGGTTCCAGCGCCAAATCTTCGAAAAGGAACAAAATTTTTCGTCTTGGTCGAGTTCTGAAGATAACCCAGATGGCGAAAATAGTGTTAAAGCATTAGAAACAATATCTATGGCTGGTTCTCTATGAGTCTTTCAGAACTTGAATATGAAGAGGTGAAAGGATTTGGGGATTTGGGGTTTGTTTTCTCAGAGGAAGATAGGAATTCAAGCTTGGGATTGGTCATTCCTGGATTGCATAGATTAGGTAATTTGGAAGAATTAGAAAAAGAAGAAGGAGAGAAGAAGATTTTGGATGAATCATCAAAGATTTCAAGGCCTTACCTTTCAGAGGCATGGGAAGTTTTGGGTTTGGACAGAAGAAGGGAAGAAATTAAGCCATTGTTGAGGAATTGGAAGTTGCCTACTTACAGGAATGAAGCTGACATGAAAGAAAACCTCAGGTGGTGGGCTCATACTGTTGCTTCCACTGTTAGATAACATTCATTTCTGTGCAGTATTTATATATAGATTCAATCAATTTTAGTTTCCAGCCTTATTCTTTCTATTTCTTCTGTGTGTGTGTTGTGCATATTACTGAGATTTTGCACCTGTTAGAGAAATTAGAAATAAGAGAGTAAATTGGAATTAATTATATTGGAAAGAAAATACATAAATGGAGCAGAGATGTGAGTGTCCCTCTCTCTCTTTTTTTTTTATAATTAATTAAGAGGGTACTTGGTAGAATGGGCATATACTAAAAGGAACATATTTAAGTTTATAAAATACATAAGTGAGAGGAAGTATATGTAAAACGGAAGGTAACTAAGAGAGCATTTTTGTTGAGAGAAGCTAGAAATAAAGTTTTAGATAGAGAAGTACCAATGAGAAAAATGTAAATGTACTTTAGTGGAAATAATGTTTTTTGTTATATGAGAAGCTTTAAAAAATATTTAAAGAGAAATTGTGGAGAAAGAAATTTGAGAGAGAGAGAGGAAAAAAGAGTTGGGATAACCTAGAGAGAGAAATGTAGGTCTAAAGAGAATAACATTGAGAATATATGTATAAAAACAAACTTGAGGTAAGAGAAAATGAGGCAAATGTGTACAAATACACCTAAGTTATGATCTTATAAAATATGTGAGGAAAAAATTAAGGAGAAAAACAACTTGAGTATAACTCAATTGATTAAAGTGTTTATCCCTGACCATAAAATGGTGAGTTCGAATTCCCACTCCACCATATTATATAAAAAAAAAAGAGAGAGAAAATATTTTTCTAAAAAAAAAAAGAGTGGGAGACCGTTCAAGTGAGAGAGTATGTGTAAAAATAAATTAATAATAAGTAAAAGAAAAAGTTTAGTGATAAAAAGTGAATATATGTGCAAATAGTGAAAATATTTTTTTTCTATGTTTGCAAAATACAGCAACAATCAACACTACCTCAAATATGTTAAAATATTTAAAATCTAATTTTTTATTTTTTATTATTTAATACCTTTCTAGAGTTTATATAGATATAACAAATCAATTACATATATTATATAATATTGATACATTAACATTCATATCATATATGATATATTATTAGTATATTAACACTCATACTTATATGTATTAGTGTTTCAGTAATATAACATATCGAGTGTATCAATATTTATATCAGACAAGGCATAGAAGATAGATACTTGGGTTATTACAAACAAATATTTTATTTGAAATATGCAAATAGCACAACAACAATTCAATGTGAAAAACTGAATACAATAAAGATAAAAAAAGAGAAATAATATATCAGGTGTATCATCGATATATCGATACTCATATTAAATATGTTAGATATATCGTTAGTATATCAACCTCCATGAGCTCAAATTGGTCTATTAAACCAAGTGTATGAATAGCATATTAAAATGAAAACAGCTGAAGAGGGTTTTAGTAGAAGGAGATGATGGGTATGAGATAAAAATGAAGTAGGCGGCCGAGAGTTGGGTGAGGATTGAACTTTTACTTTCTCGCGTACAAGTTAGACCTCAAGATTTTGTTACTTTTACCGAATTGATTGGTTAAATATATGTTTGAAATTTATGCCTCGTTTAGTTACCCGCCATCATAATCAATCAATCGTAATGAAAATTTTGATTTATTTGATGGTGTTTCCCAAATTGTAGGTATGTAATCAAATTGTGGGACCTATCTCAAACTTTGTAATCCCATTACATAAAATGATGTAATCTCATTACACTCATACAACCTGATCAATCTCATTTTCATTCTTTATTTCGTGTACCCCACATATATATTATAATTAATTTACATCTTTTACTCTTTCTCTCTCCTCTCATATAATTTTTAATTAGTTTTTTTATATTTTTATAATTTCTTCTCCATTTATAGTCCAATTTTTATTAATTGATGTAATTTTATTATATAATATGATAAATTAATATTAATTAATATCAATAAATTTTTTAAATAGATATTATTACTTTTAAATATTAGAATAATAAAACTTAATAATATGTTATATCAAGTTTAGTTGTTCTAATAAATTTTTTTATTAATATGCAATTTTATTTTAATTACTCATTATGTATTAATATTAGATAAATTGTTATAATAAAAAATATTTACTATCAATAATATAGTAATAGATTGAATTACAATTTATTGTTATTGTAATTTAAAAAAGATTAGCACAATAATTATTTGTAATTAGCTAAAATGGGGAAAGGGATATATTAGTATTTATTATATATCTGATTCCGATTCCGATTCCGATTCCAGACAGTTTTACCAAACAATATCAAAAGAATTTTGATTACGATTTTATAAAATTTCTAGTAAACAACATCAATGAAATAACATTACGATTCCGATTGATTTTAGATTTTCATTACGATTGATTTCTATTACGATTGCAAATAAGTAGACGGTCAACTAAGTTTATTCAAATCGGGATTGGTTCTCATTTTTTTTTTAAATAAGCAAAATGAGGAGGCGTTGAACTCAGTTTGACCAAGTCCTTTCAGATGGTCTTACCACTTAGCTGGCGTCATCTTTCTTCACCAAAAGACGCATGTGACCTTCCTGCTTTCTTTATTTACATTACTGTCCTCAAGGCTGCGTTGTTTTTTTCTTTTCCCTTCTCCTCTCCAACAAGTTCTCCGTGAATTTAAGATGATCCCACTCTCCCAAGGCATGTGAAAAAGAAAATGATATGATATTGATATATAATAATAAGAATTAGTGAGATTAATTTGTTATTATGAAGAGATGTAGGGGCATTTTAGAACACAGATGACACGTTCCCCAAAAGGTCTCGATTCGTGGGCCATCTTCTTCCTTCTTCTTTTTTTATACCTCCCCACTCCCCTCTTCCTCTGCTTCTCTTCTCTCTCCAACTAAAACTAAAACTAAAACTAGAACTAGAACTAGAACTAGTATGGAAAAACAACAACCGCCGCCGCCGCTCTTTCTCTTCCTCCTCCTATTACTATTACCTCCGGCCACCACCGCCGCCGCTCCCTCCTCCTCCTCCGCCCTCGATCCGAAGCAGCTGAGAGCGCTCCAGTCCCTCAACATTCCCACTTCCGACGACCCCTGTTCCCCCTCCTTCCACGACAACGCCACTCTCTGCGACTCCTCCGCCCCATTCCGCCACCTCCTCTCTCTTCGCCTCGCCAACTGCTCCGACGACGTCGCTTTGTCCTTCACCGCCCTCAAGTCCCTCTCCACTCTCCGCTCTCTCCAGTTCCTCAACTGCCCCATCTCCCCCATCCGCTTCCCCGCCGATCTCGCCGCTTCTCTCCGCTCCTTCACTTGCGTCGCCAGTCTCCACAGACTCACCGGCGTCTGGCTCAGCCGCCTCCGCAACCTTACCGATCTCACCGTCTCCCACGTCTCCATTACCGCCTCTGGCCCTTATGTCATTCTCGGCAATATGAAATCTCTCACCTCTCTCACCATTTCCCACGCCAATCTCACTGGCTTCATTCCCAAACACCTCAATCCCAATCTCACCCATCTTGATTTCTCTAACAATAAGCTCAGGGGCAAAATACCCACCTCCGTTACATTGCTGGAAAATCTCGAATTCTTGAATTTGTCGCTCAATTCGCTCACTGGTGAAATCCCCACTTCGATTGGGGACTTGATTTCGCTCCAGAACCTGTCATTGGCCTCAAATTTGCTGTCGGGGTCCATCCCGGAGTCTTTCTCTGCAATCCCGGGGCTCGTCCACGTTGATCTGGGTTCGAATCATTTGAACGGCACCATTCCCAGGTTCATTTCGGAGATGAAAGGGTTGAAGTACTTGAATCTGGAGAACAACCAGTTTCATGGCGTAATTCCTTTCAATGAATCGTTTATCAAGAGATTGGAAGTGTTGAAGATTCAGGGGAATAACAATCTATGCTATAACCATTCGATTTTGTCGTCCAAGTTGAAGCTTGGAATTCCTCCTTGTGACAAACACGGGCTGCCGATACCTCCACCGCCGGGTAAAGACGACGGCGATTCCATGTGGGATGATGATGGTGGGAGTGATTATGATGGGAGTGAGGAGAATGATGATTCAAGTCAGAATCATAAGGAGGAGAATCATCATCATGGGCCCAATAAGGTAGTTCTTGGAGTCGCAATTGGTCTCTCCTCCATAGTTTTTCTCATCGTTTTCTCGGTTCTAATGTCCAAATGTTGTCGTTGATTCAAACAGCCACCACAACTACGATTACAGTAGGAAAATTGTTTTGGAAACAGAGTTTTTTCAATTTTATCTCACACTTACACGTCGATGAGGAAATTTCTTTTTTTTTTTTTCTTAATATGGGGGGTGGCATTGGATCATTGGGTGGAGTGGTTCCAATTTTTGGCTTGTATGTTCGATTGATGGTGAAATTTCTTAAGGATAAAGTTCAGTTTTGTACTTTTCGTCCGGTACAAGCATTTCCATTTTATTTTATTCATTGAAAACCAGCCTCCAATGAATTCTGATTGTCCTGTATGTGTTCTTTTTTTCTGGGATAATGACTTGATGAAGTTAAAGATAGATTCTGTCTTCACCATTCTGATTTAAATAGCTGATAATGTAGACTGTAGTCTACTACAAGCAAACCAAACCAGTGCTTTAAAGAAAAATAGAATCTTGTACAAAAAAATATATACAGAAAAATCTTTTCCAACACATATACACAAATGTAAAGAAGATAAGATGTGAGGTGGAATAATAAATAAAAATCGAGAGAAAAATTATGAAAAATAATGGATTTAGAGTTGAGGGGGGCCCATTTTGATGATGGGATCAGAGTTCTTTTCTTATGCCTTGCTTTGCTTCAAATATGAGAAGTAGATGGGTCCCCATTTTAATGATCAACACCATAAAATCATGACCGTCCAGGTTGTCCACCCCCAAGTTTTCCCCTTTTTCTTTCTTCTCATTTGTTCTCTTCCTTACTTGAAAATAAAAAATGAATACGCGAAACCATTCAACGAAAGAGGCAAAAAAAAAAAAAAATGCAAAGATTAAGCAACCAGATAACAGGATTTTCTAGTAAAAGTTACACCGACAACATAATTTTCCTCAAAGTCTTGAGATGCACGACCGCATTCAGAAAGATCAACCTCCTCTCTGAACAAGTTTTTTTCTGCCATCAAACAATTGCTTTTGTTTAATCTATTCCAAATCCAAAGCTAAAGAGTTTATATAATTCACACTTTACAAGATGTGAAGACTACATTTTTTTTGCAACAAATATGAGGAAGGAGATTTGAAATTTTATAAATTGATACTCTAACCATTAAACTATACTCCCTTTCAGTCAGCTTGCGACCGCATGACTTGATAACATTTAGTGTCCAAAAACACATAGATTAATTCCTAAGATAGTTGGTCATTATGGAGTTTGAACTCATCCCCTCTCAAATTTACTCTAATCCATTTGGACCAATAAATCATCCAAGATGGTTTAAACTATACTCCTATTCTTCGCAACTTTTCATTTTTGTTCCAAAAGTTTTCAGTGGAAGTCATGAACTTTGTATTATGATGGCGGGTTTAGAATGGCTTTTGGGAAGAAAAATACTTTTTAAGTGACAGGACTTCTCCTCAAAGCACTATAACGTTTTTAAAATTTCCTTAAAATTTTTCCAAGAATGAAGGCCGTATTTGAAAGTAATTTTGACATAATCATCTTTGTCATGGTCAAAATCACTTCCCTTCCCAATTATCATGTTTGCCAAATTAAAATTTTAATTTTAGAAAAGTTTAAAATCACTTTAAATTGAATTGTAATTTTGAAAAATCAAATCATACTTTAATCTCATTTTTTAAAATCACTCATCCTACCCTCACCCTCGAACACACCCGAAATTTGAAAAGTGTGTTCAACCTGCTGAAATCACTTTTGAGCCCACACAAAAGTGTCCAAAACTCACACACAGATTGAATAGGAATAAAATCAACTTTGATGCTGATTGTCAATTGGAATGTTGAAATAACAGCTCTTTTGTAAAGAAAGAAATAAACAAATCTTATTTAGTCTTGTAGATGGTTAACGAATGGAGGCACTTGAGTTACAAGGTGGGGATTGTGAATCGTGGAAGGAGAAGATAAGGTAATATAATAGTTCCAGGATTTTTTAGGTTAAATCCTACTTTAACCACGCAAAACAATCAAATCTAGGGAGGTTTTATAACAAACACCTTACTGGATTGGAGAATCATGGTAAAAAAATTTCTTAAAAAGTTCGGCTTCGTTATGAGAACGAAACACCCATATAAAAAAAGGCAAAAAAAATCTTACAACGCAATAGGCACTATTATCAACCAAAAAAATGAATACTGATTCTAACGCAGCCAAAAGCGTTGAAACAACTTACACTATTAAATAAGAAAGGCTTTAAAATGCTCCTTGAAATGAAATAGAAGTCGTGATAGACGAATCTTAAATGAGAAAACATATTGCCAAAATTTGAACATGCCGTCAAAGATAGTAGAGAACCTTTTCTAAGATATATTTTGGGACTTGTTGAGAATAACTCCTTCATATTTGACTTGGAACCACTTCATGGCATCCTCTTTAGTGACTCTATGCTGAATTCCAACACTTGATTTGCACCTACGGCGGCGACCTACACGGTAACCTGGGCGTTCTAGGACAACATAGAAGTCCATGCCATAAATACCCGTAGAAGGGTCATACCTGTAGCAAAAAGTAGAAGCAAAGGAGTTAAGCACATAAAAGCCCGATTACTGGTCAGTTTAAACTGTTTATGACTAGATTTCATATCAACATAAGCAAACAAACTCCCAACATTTGTATCCATCAAACTCTTCTTAAATAAGAATATTCCTTCAGAAAATGGAAAGCGAGACACTGAGCTATAACCAAAATACTAGCCAGTTATTTAAAGATGAGATATCTATCAAATCCTGCTAGAACTCACCTCAGTTAACGCCTCAAAAAATCAAAGATGAGCATGGTTTAAGTCGCACTTAAAATGAATGTTCTTGGGGGTTTAATTCAGGCTGCTCAATATATATATGAGATGCGGATGGTATGTGTTGCATAGAAACCAACACTTGGACTTGATTTTGCAAATAATTTGAGATACTAACACTAAAAGCTATTCTTCGGAAGGATCAAGGAACAAAAAAAAAATTCATAGCATCAATTATGTTTCAATTTAGTCCAAATACAGCAAAAGGCAAAGCATAAAATCGAACAGAAAGCATGCACAAATTCATTCCTAATAACATGTCTACAACAGTTCGAATATAACGCTTACTCTTTCTATTCTTTTCCCAAACAAAAAATGATAATTACCTCTCCAAGCTTACACAGGCCATTTTTTATATCGACAACTAGGGTAGAGGTGTTCAAAAAACCCAACATCCCAACGAGGGTTGGGTTGGGTTCAATTAAACCTCGGTTTGGGTTTGGTCTCGGGTTGGTCCTTAAAAAATTCGAGTTGACCCGACCCAACCCGAATTAGCCTTATTTAATATATATATATATATATATTTATAATCAATATATAATACATTTATTATCTTTAATCTTAGTCGTTGGTTGAGTTCTAATCCCGCCCCTTCATTTAACATTTAGGGTTTTCACTTCTTTTCTCATCTCCTTCCTCCCTCAATTTTGATTAATCTCATCCTCAAGTTTTCTTTTCTCCATTGTCGTCTCCTCTCTCAAGCTTCTCGTTGCACTCATCACGGCCCCTGCAATCCCATCGCCACCCACTGCCCGCTGCACCCACGGCCGCCACTGCCCTTGCATCTCGTCGTAATCGTCACCCCTGTACCCATCGTCCCGTCACAGGCCAGATCGCATACCTCCTTCACCACTCTCTTTTATTTTTTTTTTTGCTTTACATTCAACTATTGCAGGCCTCCTTCACCGCAGATGGTTTTTTTTTCATCTTTTTTGCTTTATATTTCTGTTATCACAAATCTTTTGGGAGATTTGGAAGATTTGGAGAGAAGATCAATCATCTTCCTGTATTATGTCTTTAGATTAGAATGGTCGAAACTGAATAGCAAAGGAAACACCTCTCCGATTTGTCTAGGTTATAAACAAAATAAAATTTAAATTAAAAAAAAGGTGACAAACCGACAACCCAACCCGACCCAACTTGAATTTTTTTGGGTTGGGTTGGGTTGGGTTGGGTTGGCCATCAATTTTTAACCCGCCAGTTTTAACATATGGCCAACTCGAATTTTCGGGTTGGTCCCAAAAGTACCCCTAACCCAACCCAACCCAACCCGTGAACACCCCTAAACTAGGGTGTCTCTTATCGATACAAATGTACCAAGCCCTGCTTACGACATGCCTACGACTTGGATTGATCTATCAAAATAAGTTCTGACTTTTGTGCATACAACTGTTACAGAAACCATTGTTCTGAATCCTGATATAGGTCACAAATCCAATACCAAAAGCAAAGTATGATTATTAGCCATTTCACGGAACTAATTGAACTCAAATTCTTCCTGTTTTCTGTCCTATCCTTCAGTACTTCACAAGGGTTCTACATGTATACATATTATAAGCTGTATTCCTAATTTGCCTAAGGTCTATATTTATCAGCACCAACAACAACAAAACACAGTTATGTAGAAAAATAAACAATAACAAAGGGCAAAACAAAACATCACTCATAAATAATACGTGAGGGGATTGACAACTCACTTAATTCCGAGATCAATGTGCTCCTGAATTCCAAAACCAAAGCAGCCAGTGTCGCTGAAGTTCCGGCGCAAAAGCTCATACTCCTTAACCTTCAAACCACTCTCAAGGAGCTGCATCGCTTTGTCACCCCTAACGGTCACATAACACGCAATCTTTTCGTTACGCCGAATCCCAAACGATCGAACGGTATAGCGAGCTGTTTTAATCACAACGATTCCAGCAAATCATGCCCACAAATTTCAGATAATGAATGAAAAAAGAATATATAAACGGGGAATTCATAACAGTGACTAAAAGGTAAACGCAATTGTACCCTTGGAGAAGACTGGAGATTGGCCACTGAGTTGTTCTAGCACCTAAAGTATAGAAGGAAAAACCAGAATCTTTAAGTTTTTGCAGAAATTGAACAGAAGAGAAAGCAAGGGTACAAGTCACAGATGGAAAAGAAACCTTGGCGGCTCTGGTAAGACGATCACCACTTTCACCAACAGAGATGTTGAGAACCAGCTTTTGGACTTTGATATCGCGCATAGGATTTGACAGCTTCTTCTCTGAAGCCTGAGATGCAATGTAGGGGTCAAATTAAATTAGAACCCTAGAAACGAAAAAATGTATTAAATGTTACAATCAAAATCAGAATCAAATGAAAGAGCGAGAGATACCATTTTTGCAGTTCGAAGCTCGGAGCAGGAAACGAAGCTTGGAATGTAAAGATGCGGGAAAGAGATGGCTAGGGTTTTTTAAGCTATTAATAGTCTCTCTCTGACGCTAAATTGACGAAATTGTCCTCTCATCGTAAGGTCATATTGGTAAAAATAAAATAAGATTTTACAAAAGAAAAAATTCCGTTGCCGAGAATGGAATCCGGGTCTCTCGGGTGAGAGCCGAGTATCCTAACCAACTAGACTACAACGGATTTTGAATTTCAAGGAATAATATTTTAATATATTCTAAAATAAGACATTACGAAATTCCAATATTTCTACTTGTGAAGAAATTTACTCAACATATATCCGAGGATCATATATAATTTAAAAATTTTAGTCATTTATTGTGGAAATTCTTATTAACTAAAATGGCGAGGAGTCAAATATTTTTACATATTTTGAAGCTTTTCCTTTCTCTTTATTTTAATTAAAAAGTCGAAAAGAGAACTTATCATGCATTATATTTAAAATTGTCATATTAAAACATAAAAAACAACATGTTGAGTTATTATTGACATGCATTATATTTTAAATTGAAACAAATGAAAGCGCCTAGTTTATACTATAAACTTTATAGTTGACAAAATTTGCTCCTCTGGCTCTTGATAGATAAAGATTTAGAAACCATGCGAGTTGGCCGTTTTATATTATAATATCCCAATGTTTGCGTCCTCACTTGATAGTAGATATTTTCATTCCCAAGCATTCAAAATAAACCATTTGAAAATGAACCTTTCTGTCATATGTGTTTGCTTTTAAAGATAAACTATTCGAAAATGACCAAATGACTATAAAAAGCAAGCTTCCTTTGGAATGGAAATATGAACTAAGATTAACGAATCTTTGACAAGTATTCGAGCAATTCTCAAGGCAGATGTTGCAGAAACTGTACTGTTTGGCAAGATTGTAAGATTTACAGGGTTCGACAAGCATTCGAGCAAAGGAAAAAAGGAAAACGAGAACGACAATCGGGAAAGAGGAATGCTTTCTATCATTCGACATCAACACTCCGCTAGAAAATGTTTATGCGGAAAAACCATGGGAGAACAAAAGCTATTACCAGACATGCCATCAAAAAGTTACAGAATGGCTGTCTCCTCCAACATCCCTCAACCCTGTTTGATGAGTTTCCATTGCTATCAGCTGACCTTCCCTCGTTCCACTCCTCCATAAATCTGTTGTCCCCGACTCCTTCGACATTTTTTGCGGTCTCGCCACAAATTTCGCACATTCTGTATTAATCAGGGAAAGACAAAATGATTATGGTTCAATATGAAGACAATGTAGTTGAATTGAAATACAGGAGTTTAGTTGCCAATTGGCATGCCGTAGTTTTGGACTCTTTTCCTTGTATTTTCACACACAAATGTACAGAAACGAGTAGTTGACTTTATCAATGTGACACTACTCCTCAGTTCTCACTCAATCTCTCCTTCACCATATTTCAACTCAGATAAATTACTTTGTTAAATCTCTGGAATCCTGTGCTGAGTATGCACTATAATCCATTTGGCAGCGTATAACTGAAACGCCAAAAACTCCAAAACAGGAACTTAACACTACAGCCGTAATTGACTTGTACAGATACAATAGTCATCAAATATCACTCTCAACTAAAGAGTTAGTGTCAACTTTATAGGTTGTACAGACTTCTGGAAAATGGAAGTTTGAAGTTTGAACCAGAGGATGTAATTGGGGGAGCAAGCCTAGTAGCCAGCACCACGATAACTTCATATGTACAGTTACTACAAGAACAACTCAGTTAAAGATTCATTGAGGTTACTGCGAACAATGGAATTGGGAACCAGTCACCGGCAAAAAGAAAACAGAAAAAATAAATATTTCACACCCCTAAATATAGCCATATTTGAACCCCTTTAGTATGTGACTGCTCATGCTTAATTCAGTGAACTCTTATTATAGTTCGCCATTAATATATCAGAAGCAAGAACCCAGTAGGTATAGCAGTGATGGAGTTCAATGAGATAGCATGAAACGAAGTATAGGCTCGAAAAAATCAAGGGTAGACCCAACTTTACAGGAGACTTTACACATGACAACCTAAAACTTCCTCCATTTTTTTAAGCAGGCTCTTTTTACCTTTTCTATTTAGAGGGCAGTTCAATTTCCTCAATCTACAACAACGGAGAGCTTTCTATTTTTATAGGTTACTAAACTCAATTGGGTAATCCTTTTGGAGGCAAGAGTGTCTAAAAATCTAGATTCTAAACCGAATGAGGAAAGATAAAAGTCAAAAGAGTAATATTCGAATGGCCGGACAAGCTGATAGAACAGTAGAACAAAATAGACATTCAAAATCACAAAACTTCATCAATTGTCAATACCAAAACAGAAGGTACCCAGAAACTTTATAATAATCCAGAAGAGAGAGAGGGAGGAACCTGTTTCCTTTCAGCTTAAACCATGCCTCGGCACAGTGACTATGAGAAATTCCTAGCTCGTCCTTGCAGTCACAACCAAGTTGAATCAATTCTGAAGTACTGGTCCCAGTTTTGGGCTCAGAAGCTTGGTCAGAAGCCAAATGGCAGATCCTACAGACCCTTTCTCTATTCCAGTCTTCAACAAACGCTTTCCCTCCTTTTGGCTTTACATTTGTCAACAGCGGATTGTACTTCGCCTCTGACATCTTTGACTTTATATTCATCTTCTCTGAATCCTTCCTCAACCCCGTTCCATTATTCTTCGCGAGCGATTCTCCATCTTCACCTCCAGAAGCAACCCCATCTGAATCTATCACCAACACAGTTTCTGAAGGGTTCAGGTTCAAACACTCGCTTGTTTCTCGATCAACATTTGCTACTGCTTCTCCACCGGAGCCGAACCCAGTCGCCGTACCTCCGTGAGCTTCCCTGTCGCCGCCGGCGGAGGCATCGCCTTCTGGGATTATCACAATGGTGGTCTCAATCTTTTCGCCATTGACCAAATCGGCGGCGGTCTTGGGCTCCTCGGCTTCTACTCGACTCGTGACAACGCCGCCACTTTGGGGATTCCTTTCTTCTCGATCCATCAATCGAAAGGATTTCTTCCCTAACTCAGTTTCTCGCAGAAGCTGTTCTGAATACTTCTTTCGCAAAACTAATAGCTCAATACATCACTTTCCATCCAACTAATTGGTATGGAAAGAAAATTTCATTTGAAATTCAAGTGGGTAATCAATCAGAAAAAAAGGGGTGGAAAAGAAAATCGAAAGATAACAGCTCCATTCACAATCGCCCCAGCTTATAATCGAAGTCTTCACTGTGTATGCGAAACATCATTCGCTTACATAAACTTTTTCGCCAATGGAAGATATCAATGCCTCGTCGCTGAGGAGAGAGAACCGGAAGTTGTTTTAAATAACAAAATTTCTTCTTGGGGAGCGTTTACTTCGTATAGTTGAAATTGGAAATAACAAAACAAAAAATGGAGATCTGGGTCGCCTCCAATTGGATTCCTCCAGGCGAAAGAACCATCTCTCCCTTTCGATGTGACTTCAAAACAAAAAAGAAAAATCAATAAATATTCTTAGGCGAAGACTGTGAAATTAGGCACAAGTAAACGACTGTGAAATAGTAGACCGGGTGAAATTGAATACAGTACAATTCATCTTTACAAGAAAAGCAACTAAAATTGAAGGATAAGGATCCTGGTTACGAAGAAAGGGAAAGGCGACAAATTGGTTTTTAAAAAAATACTCAAATTCACTATGGAAAACTGAATTGTATATTGTCTTTCCATTGTTCGTGGTATTTTTTTTCTTCTTTTGGCACACGCAATCGATTATTTTCCCACAAACAATTGGATGTGGTTGATGTTTTTAATTGGATTATTGTAATGTAATTAATGTTTTGGAACGGCGTTTGAAATGGGTAACGTAAGCTTCTTTAATCTTTGTTGGTAGACGGTGCCAAAATTCCAAAGCAGAAGCAGACCCACATCATTTTTTCCATCAAATCCAACCTGGTTTGCCTTGTTTTCCAACTTCCATTTGTAGACATTATATTTATTTTTTGTAGGTTGAATTTGTCCTCGGACCTTCCTTTACGCCTTATCCCTGTTCATGTTCTTCAAATTCTCCATGTCCCATTTGTCTTTATACCATTACGAAATTACAATAATATCATTAAATAATCAAATTTTTTATTAGTCATGATTCGGAAACAATATCAAAATATGAGATCTCAAGTTGAAACTCTTGCAATAGAATTTTTTCATTCATAGGTGTTATGAAGTAAAATCTAGTTCGTGTCCCTCCTCCAGACACGTGTGTCCGACTGCACAAGGAGGGATGGTCCAACCTAGCAGATCTTTGCTCAACTTCGATTTAGGAGAGGATTTTGGCCCCCAGATAATTTGTTGGCACTTGGGTATAAGGATGATTCTTCTATCAAATGATTTTTCAATTGCTGTTATGTAATGTCTTTAGATTTAATTAAACTCGACTCAACACGAACTCTTGTTTAATACTAACTTAAGCATCAAAATAAATGCGATCAAATATGATGTGATGCAAGTTTCTAGTCCACATCGGAGCTACTTAGGAGCATAGCTGACACGAAGGTTTGTCAAAAAACATGCATGGCCTAAATATATTTTTTAATTCCTAATACTTAGGTATTTTTTCAATTTAGTCTTTTGTGTTTTAACATTTTTCAATTATACTCTTCATCGATTTTAAATTTGACTTATGATAAACTTATTTAACACGATATTTAATGAGTTGACACAAAGTTAGAATAAGAATCAAACATAGAGAAAAGTTTATAATTTCTACTTAAAAAAAATATTTATATATATATATAATTTTTTTTTATTCGGTAATATCATACCTCAACTAAATTTCTTTTAAATTCATATCTTCGGTATAATCGAAATATCTTAAAACATAAGAGATTAGGTTGAAAAAATACTGCAACATTAACAACTAAAACACATCTTTTAACTTAATTTATATGTCCTAACTTCATCCCTGAAAAAACTAAGAAATTTTAAATTACACACCTTTGTATTAATTTGTGCAAATTGTCTCTCAGGTAGTTTGTATGATTCAAGTAGATATGGACTGTCCACTAAAGAGTAAAGGGTGAACAAAATAAATCATTAACAAGGACTTTCAGACTTCCAAGAGGACAAAAATAAAAGATTGAGCAATTTTTTAAAATTCACAAAAATATTTATTTTTATTTTTATTTTATTATTATTATTTATTTATTTTTGGGGTAAAGCACAAAAAGTGGTTCACAACTCACGAGTACAATATTCTTTTCTCTTTCTTTTCATATTTCCTCTCTTTTCTTTTCTTTTTAATTTTAATTTTGATTTAAAGGGTAGGATCAAATATCCTGCCTTAAAATAAATATAGTAAATATTTTATTTATTGAACATGTCAAATTGGTTCATTAGTTTTCGTCTTAAAGTATATTTTAATGGTCAAATATAGTATAAAGTATAGTATTTTATTCACTTGGTTTATAATATAATATTAAAAAAATTGCTAAATTTGGTTTACAATGTAATGTTCTAAAAAAATGGTTAAATTTGGTTTATAATGTAATGTTCTATAACTAGGATTTTAATATTTATGGTTCCTTAAAAACAAATTTTCTAACATGACTTCCCTCATTGAAACTTCCTTTTTGTTAAAGAAAAAAATGATTAAAAAAAAAAAGAATAAATCTCATTGAGCTTTTAGAGTAGAGCACACTAAAACACAACACTTTATGGGTTTAAGCCAGAACCAACAAGAGAAGGGAAAATAAACTTTTCCAAGATGCATAATAAAAAATATATAACAGCATGAACAAGAAAGACAACAAAAAATGAGGAGGCTATAACCTTTGTGAGAGATTATTTAGAAAATGTAAGGATTTTTAGTACTAACATGTGTGGTAAGATTCGAACTCACGACTTTTTAATCGGAAATAAATACCTTTAAGTAATTAAATCAAATTCACATTAACTTTTCTGCAGAGTAATTAAAAAAATCTAAGATATTAACGAAATGCTTTGATCAATTTTAAACATTTATAACTATATATTAAAGTGTTTTATGGGATTGTAAGCATTAAAAAGATTTTAAAAATGTTTCCTACTCATCACCTCTTTCTATCCAAAGATTATATTAATGAGATTCCCTTTGTTGCACCTTTTTTAAATTAATTTTTTGTGGCAGGGTTTGGTGAAATACAAAACACAACTACCTATGAACCATTATTTCATACCCAAAACTTTGATTTGACACTTCAACTTCTTCTTCTTCTTCTTCTTCCTNTGAGTTATAATTCAACTTGTTTTAGTTACAAAAAGCAAAATAAATAAATATATATAGATCATGATATTCAAACTGTACAAGTTACAAACTTACAATATGAATTGAATTAAAAAGTTTGAGAGATTGTAAAAGAAAGAAAAAATAAAAAATTGTAAGAGAGAATTTTCCAAAGTGAGGATCTATCTCTATCCAAATCAACCTTCCCAAGTTGGGCACTATCTTAATTAGCTATTATTTTCCATACACAAAACTTGGGTGCTACTTGCACAAACTGAAACTGAGAGTGGCACCCCTTTTTCTTCTCTTTATATATTATCTCTTCCCCTTTCTTACATTCTACTTTTCTCTATAACAAATATTAAGGCAAATTTTGGATGTTGTTTTTTCCATTTCAAATTCATTCAATCACATGGATTCTATGAAAATCTGATTAGTAGAGTTATTTTCCAAAACTGAAAATTTTGAAAATAATGTTTTCAGTGTTCCTTGAATCCAAAATTTTAAAATGCCGGATTATATTAAAAAATATTTTTAAAAATTTGATATTATAAATTCATTTTATTTTTTTAAAATTAAAACATGCAAAATATAATGTATTATAAATTATATAATATTGTAAAATACTAATTCTAACAACAATTCATTTATGTTAATAAATTAATTAATAATATTTTATATTAAACTAATTATTTAGTTTGTATCCCATGTACAAATATATTACAAAAGAGTTTGAATTTTTCTTTTTTTTTTTAAAACCCATATCTAAAAATGTAAAATATAACCATGTTTTCATTCGATCCCTTATTTTTAGATTTATATTTTAAGTCAGCCACCCTAAATCTCTTCTCGGGTTTCTTTTAACCACTCAACAAAATAGTAGATACTGCATAATTTTATCATTGACAGAAAATATCTCATAATTTTAACATTGACTGAAAATATCTCCTCTTACCTCATCATCCACAAATAACTTTTAATAAAGCATATATATATCTAAAGATACAAATCCAATTAATAAAAGTTTGTTGTGGATGATATCTGTTTCCTTTTTCTCACAAGAACTGCTCACATTCCATATTATACCCAAAGTTTGGATTTATTTTTGGGCTAATATTAAATACGAGAAATAGACCAGCTTAAATTTCGTGTAAGAAGAAATACGAATCCATTAATGTGGTTAACATCAAGCAACTAATTAGGATGTCGATATGAAATTTGAGGAAGGGAGAGGCATAGTGGATGGCTGACTTCTCTTTTAGTGGGAAAAGTTGACAATCTTGATCTTTGTGACAGCACCACCTTGCTCTTGCTCCAGGGAAAAGAAAAAGATGAATATATCGTGTGCCTAATTTCTGAAATAAACTGGACATTCCTATGCTGTGGAAAAATTTAGAAATAATGCTGCAATTAATCATTAAAGTAGCTCCAATAAGAAGAGAGTTGAATGCATAATTGTTAAAAGGGGGAAGTGGAGGCTTAGAATTGTGACAAGTCAGAAGAAAAAATGTGGTTTACAAATAACAAAAAGTAATGGCAGGCAGAGAAAGGAGGTAGAAAAGAAAGCCACTCCCATCCCATGTATTATTTTTGCTTGGTGAAGGGAAAGATCAAAGAATCTTCCTTTCAAAGATGATTTACAGCCTCAGCCATGTTTGGATAGCGTCTCCTTCTTCAAATGCATCATCATGGTTCTTCATCGTACTATGTAACCTCAAAATCTGCTAACAACATATTTAATACTCAGCACAGTTTTGTCTGGCATGCGAGAGAGAGAATGGAAGCTCTGCCATTGGGGTTGAACAGTACATCTTTTTCGTTTCATTTCATCATTTCTGAAACCTCATTTAAAGTTAAATCCATTGATTTTGTGAAACTTTTCATGTGACACAACGTTTCCTTTTCCATGAATCCTACAAAGCAAAATACATTACAAGCGAGAGGTTGTTAGACTCCTGAGTTTTGTGGAACAGGTTGAAGAGGTAAATGCTATTCCATCTCTTTGAGATGCAAAGCTGATTATCTGTTATGTTTTTAGATGTTTTTTGTTGTCATCGAGGTCCCGAAAGCTCCATGGCTTCAACCACAAATGAAGATTCCTCATGAATATCACTGTAATTTCTGGAGAAACTGTGAGCTCTATCCTCATAAAGACTTGCTCCACCTGGTGATTCCTCCATTTGGCTCGACTGTCCAACAAGACCTTCTAGAACTTTCAAGATCTCGGACATCTTCGGTCGGAGCTGTGGATGTGACTGAGTACATTGCAGAGCCAACTCCACGGCTTTTTCCAGCTCCATTGCATCAAAACATCCTTTTAGATCCCTGTCCACCAGCACATCTAACCTCTTCTCCTCATGTAAAGTTCTAACCTGCTTAATTCACCTCTTTGTCAGAATCTCATCATGAAGTTGAGACAAAATGAAAATTATAAATATACAAATACAAATCATTTGAAAAATTATGTATTAATCTTTATTTGAGCAGTTTATTCTTGGTTTTCTAATTTTAGTTCTTAGCTCATAAACATTGTTCATTAACTATTTCTCAGTTTCACAAAAAGAAGTATAGCTTCAGAATTTGCCACAAAATTTGAGGAACTTCATGAAAAGTTATGACCAGAAAGAAAGTATTTTCGAATAGTAATATTTTAAACAAACTGAAATGAGAGATCAAAATGATAAGAAGTTAACAAGTCATCACAGGAGAGATCATACATACCCATTCAAGGATCATTCCCTTTCGGACCTGACCATTGCCAGCATCTAATGCTTTTTGCCCTGTTAAGAGCTCCAGAACCAATATGCCAAATCCAAAAACATCAGTCTTTTCTGAAGATTGTCCAGTTGAAAGATATTCCGGGGCAATATGTCCAACCGTGCCCCTAACTGCAGTAGTAACATGTGAATCCCTCCTATCTAACATCTTTGCGAGACCGAAATCCCCAACCACAGCTTCAAAGCTTTCATCCAGAAGAATATTTGCAGCTTTCACATCTCGGTGAATTATTTTCGGGTTACACTGTTCGTGCAAGTATAGAAGTCCACGTGCTGCCCCAAGGGCAATACGCAACCTTCGATTCCAATTCAATGAAGGCTTCTCTTGGCCTGCATCTGAAGCCGGAGGGTATTTAAACAATTAAAACATAGTACACAAATAAAGAAGTAATATTAAATCTAGTTAGTTCAAAACAGGAAAATCGAGAAAAAATAGTTTCATATTAAGATCACAAAGGACCACAAGAATAATGTTGAACTCGCTTGATTTCTGCAGTGGCATGCATCCATGAGAATACAAGATAGTAAGTTGCTAAACTAAACCCCTATTGTTCATGTATAATTAGAGAAAGATACTTCTTGTGTCACTTAAGTTGTGCACTCCCGAGCTAAGTATGATGATTTAGGTTGAAACTATCATCAACTCAACTTAGTAAATTAAGTTTAAGAGCGATTAAAGGGAAGAGGGATGCTTGCAATATGTAAATATCATAGGCTTTTAAACGAACCTCTCAGGCGGTCAGCAACACTCCCATTTGGCATATATGGATATACAAGAAGCCTCTCATCTGGCATCATACAAAAGCCATACAAACGCAAGAGGTTTCGGTGTACTGCTAAGCCAATCATCTCAACTTCAGTTTGAAACTGCACTTCTCCAGTATAATTTGGATCTTTCAGTCTTTTAACCGCAACATATGTCCCATTTGGAAGATAACCTTTATAAACTACTCCGAAACCACCCTGTCCCAGAATGTTTTTTGGACTAAAATTACATGTTGCCTTTTGTAGTTCACGGAATGTAAACCTTTTAAGATGACCAATATCAAATTCATAGTCTTGCTGCACTGCAGATTTGAACCATCATAATGTAGTGGAACAGAGTCAGTCAATCATTATACTAAACCGAAAGAGATTGAAAAAGAAAAAAGAAAAAGGGCATCTGTTCAGCACAAAGTTCGAAAAGTACCATACGATGTGAAGACAAGATGAGATCTATAGCAATGCACCCAGCCAACAAGTAACACAACAGAAACCACAAATGTGAAACTGACTATTAGAGCTATAGAAAGCACCAAGTGACGATGGCTATTATCTTTCTGAGGCGAATCAGTTTCTGCACAATAACAGCTATTCATGAGTTTCTTATCATTGAAGTTCAATATACAACAACTATGAGGAATAAAAATGTGTTACCATTAACTGGTTTTGAAACTACACCACAAACTTTAGGTGATGAAGATGCACAAAGGAAACTATTCCCTGCAACACTATAACAGAAGGCAAGCACTGTCAAAATGTGGTAAATCGCATTGGAAAAAGAACTAATTCCCTCTCTTTGGTAAAAGAATGCATAAAAAGCAAAAGCGAGGCAAAGGATTTACAAATCACCTCTCTTAGATTATAAGCTACCTAGTATATATTAGAGTACTGTAAAAGTACGAGAAACTTAATATTTATGGTTATGATCTTCATAAATAACCAATCACATTTGGAATTTAAACGAGATCTTTAGTTTCTCACAAATCAACTCTTCACAAAGTCTCTCACCTGTACTCTTTGGCAAGTATTCTTGGAGTTGGACCACTGAGATTATTATTCGATAAATCCCTGAAGCAAAGCATAGGGTCATTTCTGTAATTCAGCAAAACACAAGGAATTGCAACAGAATACTTACAAGAAGGAAAGGCCCGAGATATTTGCAACTGATTCTGGTATCGGTCCACTAAATTTGTTATTACTAAGCTTCCTGAAAACTTGGCAGGCAAAGGTTACATGACAAGAATAAAATCAATAGTTAGAAGGTAGAAGAGCATGGCAGAAGTAAGAGAAATCTTGTTCATGTAGTCGTACTCACAAGTAATTTAGATGAGTAAGAAACCCCAAAGAACTTGGTATGCCTCCAACAAGCTGGTTACCAGAGAGGTCAAGAGTCTGAAGTTCTGACAGTCCTCCTATATCATCTGGGATTGGACCAGATAACTCGTTATTTTGCAACAACCTGTCATGGTTTAAATAGAATAAATTTAAACTTTCAGAGAAGCGTGCAAACCTTCAATGAGAAACATTCCAACATTAGGCTATGCAAGTAACGAAACAAGACGAGTAAGAACAACCACCGTATCTTCACTTCAGAAAACAATCATAATAGATGTGTAACTAATGATTTTGAGAAAATGAAGGGAGAGGGAGGCTCACTGCTCACATTGTCCGAAGGTGACTCAAATTCCCAATGCTGGGGGAAAGCGTTCCAGATAAGCCCATATTGGGCATTTCACTAGCAATACCAATAAATAAGAACAATAATAAGAAACATATTACAGCTTTAGCACACCTTCAAGTAAGAAAAACAGATATTCTATAGCCCTCTTTTTGGTTGCTGTTTTCCAGGAAATTAAACACTGGGCGTTCTCTAGGTCCAAATTGTCAAATATGAATCATTTTTTTACATTACTTATCGCTATTTTTCTCGTCAACCAGATAGAAAACCACATAGAAAACAAAATAGATGCTTACAGAGAAATCACAAAGCCCTCAGTAGAGCAAGCAACCATATTCCAAGTACATGGATCAACCGAATTTATGTCCCAACCCTCCATCACTCTCCGCTCGTCCCTTATCCTACTCTTCACTGACATCAAAGCCGCCACTGAACAGTGCAAAAAATCAGAGATAGAGACACAAACATACAATCAATTTCGACGAACACTAAATGGGCATTCATAAAATGGCCAGACCTTCATAGTTAACTCCTTTTGGAGACAAATGACTATCAGAGGCAGAGACCACCCAGATTACGATGAACAGCAATAGAACCACCTTTATAACCTCCATTACAAAGCTTGTAGACACAAAAGAAGAGGGGGCGAAACGAAGGCGAGAGCTGGTCGAGCTGCCCCAGTGAAAATAAGTAAGAACCCACTACTTTCGGTAGGGTAAACCGTAGGAAAATATGCTTAATTGAGTTCGGGTCATAAAGTATGCAATCCATTTCTCATTGCAAATAATGACAACCTTGAAAATCTTTATTCTAGAATCCCTACTAGCTAGTGCGTTGAAAAACGAACCAGATTTCTGGTACAGAAAGCGAAGAGGAAAAGACAAAGACTAGTGGATGATTTATAAAAACTATAATAAAATCAAGCGCAAGACCAGGAAATCTCGAGATGTGGGCAATCTAAGGGCTGAGACTGTCCCCTCCCCTGGCCAAACTTTGAACAACAAACCTGATTGTGACTGAGGAAAGCCTCTGTGCGGTCCAAGACCATGATTTCTCCATCTTCTTAGTGAACTGCAGATGAGTGTGGCCATGATTCAGCCGTTGGATTTCATATAATCTATGAACAGAATACCCAACAGCTTTGATTACATTAGTTTGGATGTAATCGTTATTACTACTAGTGGGGAAGTATAGAAATAAGATAAAATTAA